ATTTATTTTTTCATTGAATTCCTTGCACAAAATTTCTACAAATAGGTATCTAAGACTCAACATATGATATTTCTTTTTTCATACGATATTGATTTATCTTTTATGTGTGGCCAAAAGATTTTAATTTAAAATATGTTATTATAAATTCTTTGCTATTCATGGATGGATAAATCTATATGTACATAATGGATTACATAGGCCCATGTGGAAGAAATCCGGCAGTAGATGTAAAGTGTGGAAAAGTCAAAAATTATAAACTACCGATGGATGCGCGCCACATGTCAATTATATAATGTATTTAATAGGCCCATGTGGAAGAAATCCAGCCGTGGATGTGAAGTGTGGAAAAATAAAAAATAGTAAACTACCGATGGATACAAGTTTACAACTCCGTAAAGTTGAGTATAACACCCGGATTAGACCTTAAAGAATTAGGTATAATATTAAAATAATAGTGCTGAATAGATTGTCTTATATTGGAATAGTATTATTTGATTTTTATTCAAAACTACGATATTTACACGAAACCCACTAGTAATCTTCTAGATTTATGTTAAGTGGTTGATAGTGCAAATGACATTTTTTTAACTAAAAAAATCGAATAACGTTATTCATCTTAATTATCGTAATACTATTTACCTAATATCATTTATTCTAATTTTATACTAAATTTTTTATACGCTATACTTCGGAGTGCCAATTCCACTTTATTTTTTCCTTGAACAATTCTCCTTTTCCTAATATGTATTTCCTTCCAAAATCAGCCCATTTTTTTCCATGTAGAAACTTGTACTTCAAAATGGAGGAACCTTTTACTTTCTAAAGTCCTTAATTTTATGTAAGATGCATTAAAATATTTTTTTTAAAACTCATCAAATCAATCTCAACTCAATCAAAATCAATCAAAGTTTTTCTCATAACCAACTCACTTTTTTCTCTATTATTTTTTCATCTAAAAATTTTGCAATTCTGACTTTTTTTTGATCTTCCTATATGTCATTATTGAACTAATTGTGTCATCAACTATTTAAACAACTCCCACTTAAAGTCTTTTCCCACAAAAACAAATACTAAATAATCCTAGTGGCCACTAATACAATTTTAATCTTCTAAAACACTCTCCCAGTAGGTCATTACTTCACTTCCAAATGTCCAATTTTCTGAATTTATTGGTTGTAAAGTTGTGTTCCCTACAATTATGGCTTTAGTGAATTTCGATGTATAATGGATGACGGATCGAACGGCATATGTGATCGACAAAACTAACGATGTGACCAACGGATTTAAGAGAGTAACTTAACTGAAATAAAATTATATATTCAGTGGCCATTTTTTTAGGTTAAAAACTTTTGTTGAGTAAATTGAACCATCTAATTGTTTAAAAAAAAATTGAGATAAATTTATTTGTTTAACATTTTTCACAATTACTATAACTACAACATATGTTTTTTCTTTGGCCTAATTTTTTCTGGCTGCTAGTTATCAAATTTAGGTATTCCATAGTTCATTGTTATATTTGTTTGGTGTATATAAACTCAGGCGTGCCCAATGACATGAACTTAATTATATAATTATTGATAAAATAAATTGAGATCAGAAAATTGAGTTATAAAAAATAGTAAACTTGTTGCAATAAACTTATATAGGACGCATCAAAACATATACTAAAGAGTTTATCGACTACACATGAAAAATGAGTACATATCAGATGTGATCCTTTTAAACTAATAGTTGATTTATCATCGTCGATGCAGAATTAAAATTAATAGTTGTCACGTTTAAGATACGAGCCATTTGAAAGCTATCTAATAGCTCAAGAATTTTGAAGGTGAACTTTTCAAAAAATAGTACGCCCGAGACGAATTTGCACTAAGTGAGAGCAAAACAATTATTATCATTATTGTTTGAAAATTGTGAATAAAGTTTCATATTGGTTAAACATGAAGTAGATGGACTTTTAATGGATTAGACTACTCCATCTAATTGATTAACCTTTTAGGACAAAATCCCGATTCCATACAAGCGACATCAAAAGCTAGGCCTCGAACTTGAACATATAAATGATCATGAACTTATAAGGAATTGAATTACTCCAATTAATTAGTTAATCTTTCGAATTGGAGTCCATATACCGTACGGTTACCCCCATCACGGTGATCATATGGTGGTTGCCACCATTTTTTCCTTCCAAACCACCACTCGATCAATAATTAATATTAATACGAATCATCAAGACTCATCACTCAAACCTACTTCCTTCTAGATTTGACTTTGCCGGGGGATTGTCCAACTTTGGCTATTTCCCACTTAATTTTACATCCTACCCAACTCAATAATTCATTATTCAACCAAAATAAGTGATTAATTATATTAAATTGCTAGGCTGGTATTAATAGACTTTAATCTAAATTATCAGTCCTTGCAAGTTGAAGGATTCGTACCGTTATCCTTTCAAATTGCACTTACTCGTCATCTTTCCAGAAGTGTCAAAATGCGAGCGAGACTAGACATGTGAAAATAAAGCACCATTTGTGCATTGTCTATAGCAGAGCCCGACAGAGCTCGACTGTTCATACTTCACGTTTCCCTTGCACTCAACAAATCATAATTATACAACAAAGTGATGCGATTGACAGTACATAATGTTGAGAATTATAAGTCCCAATTCTTTACCATCTCGAGCAATAATATCCCGCAAAATTTATAGAGATTCGTTTCAATGTAAGACTACGTTCTCTTCTATCACTATAATAATTCACTACGATGAAAAATAAAAAATAAAAGATCACAAAAGAAAACTTTCACATCCTATTTCTATAAGGGCCCGTTTGATTGGCCAATCTTTTACATGGAAAATGAAATCCAAATTCAATTTCCCACTTTTAGCTTGTTTGATGCTTTTTTTGTCCCATGGAATTCATTTTCTTGCTTTTGTCTTACACGTGCTACATTCCTTGGTTTTGTGGAAAACAGGTTACTTCCAGAATAAAGTTTCATATTGGTTAAACGTTGAGTAGATGGACTTTTAATGGATTAGACTACTCCATCTAATTGATTAACCTTTTAGGATAAAATTCCAATTTCATACAAGCGACATCAAAAGCTAAGCCTCGAACTTGAACATATAAATGATCATGAACTTATAAGGATTGAATTACTCCACCTAATTAGTTAATCTTTTGAATTGGAGTCCAAATATGGTACGGTTACCCCATCACGGTGATCATATGGTGGTTGCCACCATTTTTTCCTTCCAAACCACCACTCGATCAATAATTAATATTAATACGAATCATCAAAACTCATCACTCAAACCTACTTCCTTGTAGATTTGACTTTGCCAGGGGATTGTCCAACTTTGGCTATTTCCCGCTTAATTAGACATCCTACCCAACTCAATAATTCATTATTCAACCAAAATAAGTGATTAATTATTAGAAAGGATATTGGATCTAACTCAACCTAATAAAACTGGCTTGTTAGGAGAGGACTGCAATCATCTTATTAAGTGGATCATGTAAATATCACCGGCCAATGTGGGACTCTAATATGCCCCCTCACGTACAGCGTGAACCATGCCAAACAATTGCGAACAAATCGATATTCGGTGCACCCAATATTGTAAAATTGGACCTGCTCTGATACCATATTAAAAAGGATATTGGGCTTAACTCAACATAACAAAATCGACTTGTTAGGGGAGGATTGCCCTCACCTTATTAAGTAGATCATGTAAATATCATCAGTTAATGTGGAATTCTGATATTAATTATATTAAATTGCTAGGCTGGTATTAATAAACTTTAATCTAAAATATCAGTCCTGGCAAGTTGAAGGATTCGTACCGTTATCCTTTCAAATTGCACTTACTCGTCATCTTTCCAGAAGTGTCAAAATGCGAGCGAGACTAGACTAGACGTGTGAAAATAAAGCACCATTTGTGCTGCCCGACAAAGCTCGACTGTTCATACTTCACGTTTCCCTTGCACTCAACAAATCATAATTATACAACAAAGTGATGCGATTGACAGTGCAAAATGTTGAGAATTAGAAGTCCCAATTCTTTACCATCTCGAGCAATAATATCTTGCAAAATTTATAGAGATTCGTTTTAATATAAGACTACGTTCTCTTCTATCACTATAATAATTCACTACGATGAAAAATAAAAAAAAAGATCACAAAAGAAAACTTTCACATCCTATTTCTCTAAGGGCCTGTTTGATTGGCAAATCTTTTCCATGAAAAATGAAATCCAAATTCCATTTCCCACTTTTAGCTTGTTTGATGCTTTTTTTTCCCATCGAATTCATTTTCTTGCTTTTGTCTCACACGTGCTGCATTCCTTGGTTTTGTGGAAAACAGGTTACTTCCCTTTTATTGGAAAAAATTCTAAACACAATGGTAAAAAAATTTATCACTTTTATTAACAATTTCCATTCAAAATAAAGACAAATGAATGATATTCGGTATGGTAATTATTTATTTATTTTTTGACAATGAGAACAAATTCTAGACCTAATGGTAAAAAAAATTATCACTTTAATGGACAATTTCCATGAAAAACGAAGCCAAACGGACAACAATTCCCAGTAAAAAATTATAATTCCAGTAAAAAATTATAATTCTCAGGTGAAAAATTATACCAATCAAATACAATTAATTACAATATCTAGTAAAACAAATTTTAGGCAATTCAATTCCCTCTAATTCATTTTATTTCGACCCAAATTCCACATTTGCAATCAAACGGACCCTAACATCTTTTTTTTTTTTTTTTATGATGATACAAAATTCTAACGATGGATCTCTATTTATAAGACAAATTAGATCGACCAGCTTACAAACTCCGTTTAACAATAATAATTAGGCTCCACAACTTAATATATAATCTGTATTCCCAACAGTACCCCCAAAACAAAGTCTATAAAATCTCAGCGAGAGAAAAGAATGTAATAGAATAAACAATCTACTGCTCTATCGTCAATTTTGATCACAAAATGACAGAATCTGAATCAATGCTACACTCAAGAAAGCTACAAGGCAAAGTTGCAATAGTCACCGGTGGAGCCAGCGGCATTGGGGAGGCGACTGCACATCTCTTCATTGAACACGGCGCACGAGCGGTGGTGATTGCTGATATCCAAGATGAGAAAGGCCAAAGTGTGGTGAAATCCATTGGCCAAGATCAGTGCAGCTACGTGCACTGTGATGTTAGCAACGAAGAACAAGTCAAGGCCATGGTGGATTGGACCGTCCAAAAATATGGTCAGCTCGATATCATGTTTAGTAATGCTGGAACGGTGAGTCGTTCTGATCAAACAGTCCTTGACCTTGATTTTTCCGAATTTGATCGGGTTATCCAAGTCAACACGCGAAGCATGGCAGTGTGCGTCAAGCATGCTGCACGAAAAATGGTGGAGCACAAGATTAGAGGGACCATTGTTTGTACCGCGAGTGTAGCTGCCACTATTGGTGGGCAGAGCCAAACCGATTACATCATGTCAAAGCACGCGGTGCTGGGGTTGGTCAGGTCTGCCAGCCAACAGTTGGGAGTGCACGGGATTAGGGTTAACTGCGTGTCACCATCTGCGGTCGTTACACCCTTGGCTGCCAAAGTTGGACTGGCCAGCGATGAAGACGTGGAAAACATCCTCGGGCCACTAACTAGCTTAAAACGGGTGGCGTTGACGGCTAGGCATGTCGCCAAAGCCGTATTATTTTTAGCTTCGGACGACTCGGCTTTTGTGACGGGGCATAATTTGGCGGTCGATGGTGGGTTGATCAGTCTTCCTTTCCTAACCACTTCATGAAATGAAAGAATAAATGATTCAATAATCAGCTATGAAATTACAATAAACTAAGCAAAAGCTAAAGGACGCAAGTACAATAAATCTCTATAAATTAGCCTGGTCGGGATCATATAAAATCTATCAATCTAGTGATGTAACAATTAATTGATAGATTAATGCTTATAGTTAGTTTTTGAAGATATTAAAATGGGTTTATATTTTAATTTCTTTGTTTCAAAATTGCATTTTATTTATTTAATCAATTGAAGTTTCTCTACGTTATACTAATGTAAACAATAAAAGATGTAGTAAATAATAAATAAATTAAAGATACCTTTAACCAATCAAAATTTAAAATTATACAAAGGTCGAGAACGACTTGCCACCCTTCTCTATAGCTTACCCTAACTCGTAGGCTCCATCTCGAGCTGTGACACATCAAGAGGGACCTACTGGACAAAATGGTCACTCAACTTGATATTCGTCCATCAATCAGATGGATTTAATTAAGGGGTTGCTAATAAGGCTGACTAAAATTCTACTAAACATGTCATTAATGCTCTTAAATTTGTCCAATTGGGACAAAAATTGTGTTCTTAAATGATCACTTAAAATTATCCGCGGTCATTGAACTTTTAAAAGTGTTACAAATGAATAGAAAGACCACCTAGACGGTAGAATTCTAACTTTTCAACAATTTACATAAAAAAAAAAAAAAATTAGTGAGGTAAGTCTTATAGATCGAACCCAGAAAAATCATGAGAGAGATTGTATCTATAGTCATTGAACTTTTAAAAGTGTGATCATAAGTTATAGAAAAAATAGATATTCGCAATGGATCGATACGAAAAACTCATATTCAGAAAGAAAGATCTGGTCGCTAAGGAAGGTCTCATATATCACTTTCTCTCTAATTTAATAACACATTCATGTTGTCGACGTTTGAAATGTTAAGTTGTTAAGTTGTGGAATCTAATTATTGTTGTTTTGCGGAGTTCGTACATGGATCAACTTTAGAGTTTACATAATTATTGCTATAAATTTCTTATAAATATGAAGTCGTTATTAGGGTTTATGTATATCATCATTAAAAAGAGATAGAGGACTTAGTCCCACATTGAGACGAATCTCAATAAATTTTCGTGTTCTTCAATGTCTATTTTCTTCATGTAATTATTGCTCTCGGTGGTCTAAAATTAGATTTCTAATTCTCAACGTAGTTAATTTCTTGTCAACATCACGAGAAGAAAAATTGTGGTTGTTAGTCAGAGAGACTGCATTTCTTCTTCTTTTAATATAACCATATTATTCAGCATCATCATCAATTAATAAATTTTTTACAAAGGAAAAACGGGAATCATCAATCCAAACGCTATTTTCAAAATGTAGAGTTAGTATTTTTTGACAAAAGCATGGCACACTTAGTAGGTTAAGTCGATTGTCCCTTATAGGTTACTTCAACAAAGGTGTTTAGACCCCTAACCACATTATTTTTAGAGTATAAGACTAGTTATTTAAATGTACACATGTAAGATTTAAAAATCTTATTTGTTTTATGTCACTTTTCATTATTTCCCTCTTTTATTAAAAGAGGCAATCCTTCGTGCACTGTTCATTTAGGACGTATTTTCCTTTTCCCATGTTATCCCTCTCTTTCCTATTTCTGAAGTCAAAAATGTAGGCAGTGAAATGTCCAAAAAATTTGCCGACTTAACTTCTGCAAACCGACTCCCTCTGCAAACCGACTTCCTCTTTCTCTTCAAAAAAGTAGGCGGTGAAATGTCAAAAAATTTTGCCGACCTAAGTTCTGCAAACCGACTTCCTCTTTATGTTATTATATATTTTGATTTCAAATAACAAATAAATTATTTGGCTTCCTCTCGCTTGGTCTCAGTATCAATTAATTGATAGATTAATGCTTATAATTAGTTTTTGAAGATATTAAAATGGGTTTATATTTTAATTTCTTTGTTTCAAAATTGCATTTTATTTATTTAATCAATTGAAGTTTCTCTACGTTATACTAATGTAAACAACAAAAGATGTAGTAAAAAATAAATAAATTAAAGATACCTTTAACCAATTAAAATTTAAAATTATACGAAGGTCGAGAACGACTTGCCACCCCTTCTCTATAGCTTAGCCTAACTCGTAGGCTCCATCTCGAGGTGTGACACGTCAAGAGGGACCTACTGGACAAAATGGTCACTCAACTTGATATTCGTCCATCAATCAGATGAATTTAATTAAAGGGGTTGCTATACTAAACATGTCAATGCTCTTAAATTTGTCCAATTGGGACAAAAATTGTGTTCTTAAATGATCATTTAAAATTATCTGCGGTCATTGAACTTTTAAAAGTGTTACAAATGAATAGAAAGACCACCTAGACGGTAGAATTCTAACTTTTCAACAATTTACATCAAAAAATTATAGTAATGTAAGTCTTATAGATCGAACACAGAAAAATCATGAAAAAGATTGTATGATAGTTACACATATACTTGTTATTTTTGGCTTGAAAGGACATTGATTCTGTCATTAGCTATTACTCAATGGAGGACCGCGGATTGCTAATCAATTCGGAAAAATGAAAAATTTTGCTCATTGAACTTCATAATTAAGAATAGAGTACTAATATCCTGGGGGAGATTGCTGCTAGTTAGTTTCTTGTCGTGTGATCATTTGTATGCTCTCTTATTATGAATTATTATTCCAAAAGGGTATGCTCTTTGTGATTGAAAGTTTATTTCTAGTTAAGTTATAGAAAAAATAGATATTCTCAATGGATCGAGTCGAAAAACTCATATTCAAAAAGAAAGACCTGGTCGCTAAGGAAGGTCTAATATATCACTTTCTCTCTAATTTAATGACACATTCATGTTGTCGACATTTGAAATGTTAAGCTATTAAGTTGTGGAGTCTAATTATTGTTGTTGTGCGGAGTTCGTATGATGATCAACTTTAGAGTTTACATAATTATTGCTATAAATTTTCTTATAAATATGAAGTCGTTGTTAGAGTTTATGTATATCATCATTAAAAAGAGATAGAGAGCTAGCTTATAGAAGAGAGTGTGCGCAACTTTTTTTCTTTATAAAATTCTTTTTATTATAGTGAATTAATACAACAATAGATGAGGACTTAGTCCCACATTGAGATGAATCTCAATAAATTTTCGTTTTCTTGAATGTCTATTTTCTTCATGTAATTATTGCTATCGGTGATATAAAATTAGATTTCTAATTCTCAACGTAGATAACTTCTTGTCAACATCCCGAGAAGAAAATTTGTGGTTGTTAGTCAGAAATACTGCATTTCTTCTTCTTTTCATAACCATTTCATTCAGCATCATCATCAATTAATAAATCATTTACAAAGGAAAAGGGGAAACATTATTTCTAGAGTATAAGACTAGTTATGGTTAAATGTTAGATTAAATGTACACATGTAAGAGTCAGTTATGGTTACTGTTCACAAGCCGTGAGTCGAGCTAGCCAAATGGCTTTACGGCTCGGCTCGGCTCGACTCGGGTAATTTTTTTTTCTCCTTTTTTTTTTATGTTTGATTCAGTATTTTAAATTACATATATTCGTTTTAAGCGATTTAAAATTTGTTGGAAATTTTGAAGTGTGGTCATGATAAATATATGATCGATAAATTTTAAATATCAAAATAATTTTACATTAATTGTGAAATATAAAGTCGTGATTGTTTATAATTCTTTTCAATGCCAATATAATTCCAATGTTCCTTTTTCAAATTTTATTTTCCTACAATTTTTTGTTTGATTGGATATTTCACGATATGAATATTCATTTGGATTGATTTCAAATTTTTTTTAAAAAAACTTAAAATGTGATAATAATAAATATATTGTCGATTAAG